CTGATCAAATGGGTGTCCTCTTTTTGTATTGCATGTGGGTCCTGTCAGCAATGGAGTCTGCAAGCATCCACCTCCCTCCAGCTGGAAAAATGATCATGTTGTTTCATTGATATAGTCAACTGTGTATGTCATTAATATATATTCGATCGCAACAAACAAAATGGACACAATTTTTGTTTTTACAAACATTTTAATGTATATTCATGTCAATAAAAAATGGAATTTTGGATACATATTGTCATTCAGTTCTTGGCACCTCGAAAGCCCTAAGTTGTTTTTTATGTTTTTTGTTGTTTTTCAGTGCTAGCCAATGCAAAGTCTTCTACACTTGTTCTACCTTACTCAATATTTGTCCTGTCTTCCTGTCTTCCAGTCCCTGAGACCAAATGCTTCAATGATATTAAGCTTCACTAAATATTAATTCTCACTTAGTACATCCCAGTGCTGAATCCATTGATTTACAACTTAAAAACAAATTGTAAAGGCAGCCATAAAGTGGAGCTTCAGTTTTTCGTTTTTCATTTCAAAGTCCCCCACCCCTCCTGTGAAAAATGTATTGCTTGATTTCTTTGGTAAAATGTATATACATATTTTTAAAATATTTTTTATAAAGGATGCCAGGGGGCTTTTGGTGGGCTGAGGGGCAGTGGTAGGGCATGCAATTCCTGAAATTTCACTTTAAAAAGGGAAAAATTATTTAAATTAAAAATAAGTATGTCAAGAGGCCTATGTACTGTATGTGGAAATGTGTGATATGTACTTAATATGAAATGGGTGTTAATAGACCTAAGTACTCTAGGAACATAAAGGACATGAGTATGGATTCTGTTTTGCCATTTAAAAGAAAAATGTTTGTGCTAATATAAAAGATCATGATAGATGCATATTGGAATATGAAACTAAAAGCAAAAAACAATACAATAGGATTAACATCTTTATTACACATTGTAAACCATCATAAATGGTGCATCATTTGTTATGCTATGCCATTCTAACTTTTTGCAAACAAAGATTGATGATATTCTCTATTGGAATCCTCAAAATTTTCAAATGTTTCCACTTATATAGAAAGTTTATGTGCTTGCTCACAGTACAGCAACATGCATAATCTCTGCAAAGACCTCATGGGGGTTATGCACTGCAGAACCGAAGGATCCAGCCGTAGCTTCGGATGATCCTTCGGCTCGCTCCAGCCACCTGAGTCCTTCAGGTGAGTCAAACTGAAGGGCTGCTATACAGGCCCGTACAGCAGCCGAAGGCAGCCATCACATCACAACGTCACGCCTAGCTCCGCCCAATTGTTTATACCGGCATCTGTCAGATTTGACAATATGAGGTGGGAGTTTGTCGCATGTAGTTGGGTCGGTGATTGTCGTTTTTTTTTTCTTTTTTACATAATTTTTTTCTTTTCTTTCAAATATTTAAAAACATTGTAATTTTCCTATTTTTTTAAATTTTTAAAATAATCTCTCAAACATTTTTTTTTCATTTTTTTCTTCTATTCTGCTCGCTACCCTGGAGGTAGCGAGCAGAATAGCCTATTCACTTACTGCCGTTCGGCCCTTATGTAAATAGGGCGAACGGCACTGAATGAGCTGCTGGAGCTTCGGCTCAGCCGATTCAGATGTTGGATCGGCTGAGCCGAACTCCTTCTGCACTTCGGCTCAGCCGAACATGCAGAGCATGTTTAGCTGACCGAAGGCAGCCGATGTACGGCTGATTTTAGCTCACTTCACTTTGGCTCGGTTATTCACTCGGCTGCCATCAGCAGCTAAGTGAATAGCCCCCTTTAAAACTATTTGCAAACAATATAGATAATTCCATTTCAAAGGAAGGTGAGTACAGACTAGAGTTACCAACATTCTTTCTAGTAAGTGAAATATCAAATCTGAGGGCAGAGACTGTCAGCGATAATAAGTTAATTTAATGTTAAATGCGAACAGCCTAGATAGCAGTCTTCATTTTCAGTTATGCATTTTTAACCTATGTAAATAAAAATTATTGCTTTTTATTGGATATATGTTTTGGCTATCTGGTTGTACCTGCAAAGCCACCAATTCTCTTTATGGTTCTATCTATGTTTTTATAGGGGTGTGGTACCAGAGCCGACCCTCTTAGTTGATAGTTATATGTGTCATCTAACACACAACGTTAAAATAAATGAGCTAAGATAGAGAAGTGCAGATGAGCAAAAACCTAAAACACCACAAGATGGCAGCCTACAGCCAACAAACATACAGGTGAAACTCGAATAATTAGAATATCGTGCAAAAGTAATTGCAGTAAGTGCTGCAAAAGGGGCCCAAACAAAGTACTGAGTACATATGCATGCTTGTACTTTTCAGAGGTCCGATATTGTTCTATGTACAATCCTTGTTTTATTGATTGCATGTAATAATGCTGTAAGCCATAATCATCACAATTATGACAAATCACGGCTTGAATTATCTTGCTTTGCATGTAATGAGTCTATCTCATATATTAGTTTCACCTTTTAAGTTGCATTAGTGAAATAAATGAACTTTGCACGATATTCTAATTATTCGAGTTTCACCTGTATAATAATGTACACTGTATATATTGAAAAGATGTGTAACAATAAACAAAATACAAACTAAAAAAGAAATTATATGGATAAATATAAAATGTATAAAGCATTTTACCAACCTCTAGAGGCAATGGATTATACAATTACACGCCATTTATCATAAAGCCTATGAGATCTAGTACATTATTGGCCTTGGAGATTAAAAACAAAGCATCCTAATTAACTTTTTCAAAAAATTGCATTTTCTACAGGACAGTTTGCATAACAAAAACTCAAATATCTGACACATTTTTTTAAATGAAATATAAAAGCCAATAGTTCCCCCGGGACACTGCAAAGCAAGGGACTTTTAAGGGGATAGTGAAATTAGCAACATTTCTAATGAAAAAGAGTCAACACATGTCTTAATATAAAAATAGGATGAATAATCAGTTTGTAAAATTGAAGTTTTTACTAGGTTAGGGACAAAATGTTTGGGGTTTAGATACCTTTTAACTATTATTTAAATAGAGTTCACATTGTGCTTTATAAAAACTGATCTGATAGAATCACATAGGGGTCTATTCACTAAGCTGCCGTAGGCATTCGGCGTGGCTGTTCTGCTCGGTACCTCTGTGGTATCGAGCAGAATAGAAAAACAGTTAAAAAAGTAGTAAAAAATAACAGCTAGCTCCGCCCAACTGTTTTAACTGTTTTCTATTGGCCGGGCAGTTCTGCTGCCGTCGGAAGAATAAAAAAAAAATCACCATAGGAATGCATAGCTAGATTCCTATTGGCTATTTCACTTTGCAATAGCCAATAGCAAACTATTAGAGAACTGCAGGTCCCCCTCTGCAGATTGACAGCAGCACTGGGTGGGTGCAATAGCTAGTTTGCTATTGGCTACTGCAAATTGAAATAGCCAATCAGAATCTAGCTATGCATTTCTATGGTGATTTTTTTTTTTATTCTGACGGCAGCCAACAGCTCCGATGTCAGAAGAAAAAAAAAACGAGCAGGCAAAGGTATACTCTGCTCGATCGAGCAGAGTGAACCTTTCTGGGAGAAAGTGTTTCTCTCCCGGGCGGCCGGGAGTCGTATTAGACTCCCAGAGCGTCCGGGGGAGTAATGACAGATGGCGTTCCTGGTTACCAGGTAACCAGGAACGCCATCTGTCATTACACACTGAGAACACGGAGAGGCCGCTCTCAGTGTGTAATGACAGCGTACCTGGTTAGCTGGTAACCAGGGTCTCTGATCTCTCTGAAAGTGGCCGGAGCCAGCAGTGAGATGACGGCTGGCTCCGCCCAGCTGTCAGAAGCAGGCTGTCGGCCGGCCATTCAGCCAGCTTCAGCTTTCACCGCGGTTCAGTCGAGCCGAGGCATATGCCTTCGGCTCGACTGAGCCGCTCTGCCAACTTCGGGAGCTGTACGGGCTATAGTGAATCAAGACAGATATTAAAATGAACCTAATCCTAGATCATGGACAATAAAGTATCTACATATTCTGAACAAGCAGTAAAATAATTTCACAGCAAGCTCTCATTTATCTTTATATCTTTAAAGCTATACACTTGCTTAGTAGTGTTGCAAAGTCAACTGAGCATCATCATCTTCACATTGTGCCTGAGAACAATAGAATATATGCAATAGCTAACAATATGAAGCACCACAATGCATCCAGGTAGCCATCAACCATGTAATCTTTAACAACACTTTACGACACATGTAAGACCCTAGGAGCAGCATTTGTTTCATTATGTTTTAATTTATTTGTATTATTCTTAATGATGGCAAGAATGTGTTAGTTTGTTATTAAAAATATTAAAGTGATTTAGTAATGCGGACATGCGACCTGCTGATTCATGTGAATATTAATGAGAGGTCCACTTCAGGAAAAAAAGTGTTTTCCTTAGTTTAAAATAATATATAAACACATAGATGGAATGATTATAAGAATAATTTATTTTACTTTTGAACAAAGGCAGGAATAGAATTGATGTTTTTTAGAATATACGGCATCTGTCTGAAGAGGTTAAAATTATAATGAAAAATCATGATGAAAAAAATGTATACATTTTGAGTTACCTTTTCTTAGGCTGCTCTTCCTTTAAGCATCTCACTCTATTGGGAAATCCTCCCATGACTATACCTAATTTATTTATAAGCATACGTATAAAATATAAATACCAGTACACACTTAAGCAGACAGTGTCAACGTATATCATCTTACTTTGATGCATAAATGCTTCTCGCTATATAATATTGACTGATTTAAAATCAATGTATCAATTTGTTCTTATATCTTCATCATCATTATATGTTTAGGTATAACAAATTTAGAAATATATATTTCCCTATGTAAATCCATTTTGCACGTTTTCAAATGTTATGGTGTCTTTGTGATTTATTTGTTGTAGGACCATCTGAAAACCTTCATATTGATATCAATTGTGCTACATCTTCAACTTTCTATGGATCAATCTAATGCAAGTGCTGTCAAATATTTTATAATTGCTGGTATGTCAGACCTTCCTGTCCTCCGTTTATTAATCTTTCTTCTGGTCTTGATAATTTACCTCATCACTGTAAGTGGTAATCTGACCATTCTTGTACTTGTCTGTCTGGATCATCATCTCCATACTCCGATGTACTTCTTCTTGGCCAATCTGTCCATCTTGGACATTTCCTGCTCTACAATCACTTTACATAAAATCCTTGTATCTTTCATTTCAGGGAATAACATTGTTTCAGTTGTTGGCTGTTTAATACAAATATATATGTTTTTCTCCATGACTTGTAATGAATTAATGATTTTGTCAGCAATGGGTTACGATCGGTATGTGGCAATATGTAACCCGTTGCATTATCACACGGTCATGAATCCCAGGGTCTGTGCATTTTTAGCCACTGTATGCTGGCTTTTTAGTTTCTCAGAAAATATTCCAACTCTTATACAGTTATGTCAGTTAACTTGTTATAAGTCAAATGTAATAAATCACTTTTTCTGTGATGTTGTCCCCGTGACAAAGCTGTCTTGCAGTGACACATTCTTTTTAGAACTTTACATGCTTGTTGTAGGGAGTTTTATTGCTGGTTTCTTTCCATTTGTTCTGACATTTATCTCCTATATTTACATTATCATGGCTATACGGAAGATCCGAACCAGCACTGGTCGACATAAAGCCTTCTACACATGTTCCTCACATCTTACAGTGGTTATCCTCCTCTACAGCACACTAATCTTCCAGTACCTAAGACCGCATTCAATGGTCAGTGTGAACACCAATAAACTTTTTTCTCTGTTTAACACAGCTGCTATTCCCATTCTGAACCCTTTGATTTACAGCTTAAAGAATAAAGATGTAAAAGATGCTTTGCGGAGGTGTTTATGTCGTCAACAAACACAGATCAAGAAGAGATGAAGAGGGAGAACTTACCAGGTACCTAAGCTGGTACACAGGTGTGATACAGCAACACATATTTATGACTGTAGTACCAACTACCAACATACACTCAATGTTTGAAGTCATTTAGAAAGTTCACAAATCAGTAAACCTCGATCTGTACAACCAGATTGTATTTTTGATGTCAGCAGTGCTTCAAATTAGGTTTGTCATATTGCTCCTGTGCACAGGAAGCCTTTCTGATACTTGCACTTGCAGTGCAAGTATAATAACAAGCAAAGGAACGCCTCCTCGTGTATCTCTATTGATTGACGATTTTATTTTAACAAATTAACACACTTGACAGTACTGCTTGCCAAATGTTCTCCACACAGATTGCCTGTACGGCTTAAAGGTCCAAGTCTGTGGTGGCAGCAATTACTTTGCTCTATTTCAAGTACAAGGAGTCTACCTTCATGCTGGATGCACCTGACCCTCTTCCCTCTCTCCCTGGAGTTCAGAAATAAAAGAGAATCGTCTTGGAGCTATTGTCTGGACTTCAATCTGTCGTAACCACTGGAGGTGGTAAGTGCTATTGGGGCAGCCATGTGTGTTAATAATCCCTAGACAGGCTATGGAAGACCCGATCATCCAGCGGCTCCTTCGGGGGTGAGCGCTACACGTGGGGTTGCTCGTCCGGGATCTTCCTAGCCATTTTGACCCGTTTTGTGATATTTTTTTGCTGCAGTAACCCATAGCAACCAAAATTGGGATCGGGGGATTTTTGCTCAAGTGTGCTATTTTTGTGCTCTAATTACCCCTAGCAACTCAGGAACTGTGTCATGTGATCGTTTGTGCTATTAAGGAAAGGAAAATTTGCTTTTATTGGGAAAATTTCCTTTTCAACTGGTCACAAGTTCCTGCCATGAGGGAGAGGGTTAAAGGCACCCAGAGAAATAGCGCGTGTCTCTGTGTGGGCGGAGATGGCTGTCACTCACGCAGCTGGGCGGATCCCGACGTCTAAGTAGCTGTAGCTCGCGGTATACTGAGCTTAGGGTAACGGGAGGACGCTAGTTTGTGTCCTCCCATTACCCTAAGGAGAACTATGGGGAAAAACACTGACCCCATAGTTCTCCTTTAAGACGTAAGGTATTCCAATCAATGACGGAGGTGTTCCGAGAAATTCAGTGTGCCGCTGACATGCTCTGTCATACAAAAAGCATACTCTCTCCACATGTGGTGATTTCAGCCGATATACAGCTGAAATCAGCCGTACAAGCCTGCTGTTAAGACCGAACAGCGTTCGGCTCACTTCACTTCGGGTTGGTTATTCACTCGGTTGCCTACGGCAGCTTAGTGAATAGACCCCTTAGTAGCAGCTGTAGGTAAAGGATAGGGAAAGCTAACAAACTGCATAGTGAGAAATTAGGGTAAGAAAGGATACTGTACTCTAATTCTAATTGGTAGCTCTTTGGGCAATCAACTGTTTTGCTGTTTTTTTAGTTTTCTTTTGGAAGCTTTTTTGTCTTTGATTTTTGAATGTAATGTCACCAATCAAGCGCAATGTCCCATTCATCAGGCTCATAATGAGGTCATTCATAGCATGATGAAGGGGATCCGGCATCGCCCCAAAATGTTGTGCTTGATTAGTGACAATACATCAATAAACAGATAAATCTTTGACACTATACTACGGTGTACTGGTGTTACATTCAAGCTCGGATTCAAACGTCACCACCTGCTGTCATTTCAAGCACCCATCTTGAGTTGGAATATCCGGTAAGGAATATGGCAAGCAATCTGTAAATGTTTCATTTCATTTTGTCGCTGATTTGAATTGAGGGGTCACATTTAACTGATCTCCGATCCATAGCAATTTTTTTTGTTGCAAGGCTTTCCTTTTTCATATTTTGGTGGTATATTGTTTTTTTATTTTTTGATAGGGCCCTTTATTTTAGATGTAACTGCTTTTTTCGCAGCAAGGTTTCCTATGAAAAATTGGGTGACTGTTTCAAGTCGTATTAATATAAAGTTGTTTTTTTTTCAATCAGATAATTTTTATTAAGTTTTTCTTTATTAATATAAAGTTTTAATTCACTTTGGGGTATGTTGTTTTATATTGTGTATTGATAGGGCATTGTTTAATTACTTTTATGATGTAAAGCCCCCTTTTGCTTTAGAGGTGATTGTTGAGGGTTTCTTGATTTTATTTTATGTTGATAGGACCTGTTTTTAGGTTTGGGGTACTTAAAGTGCTACATTCACTTGTTACTAACCATTTGTTCTAGTTCACGTTCAAGAACAGTATGCACCTAAACCACCTCAAATAATATCAATCACATTCACATACCACATATCCACGTGGTAAAAATAAACATTAGGCATACACTGGTTAGGCCTATGATCCCTGGTTAAAAGGTAGGGTTGCACAGATACCAAGTACAGTACTTGGTACAAGTACAAGTACATGTACCGATACTTTTGAGCTCCAAGACTACACTAGAGAAAAATTCAAAAGTTAGGAGGCAGCTGTCATTTGTAAGGAGCACACGGAGCTCCTGGGATTTGTACATCTCTGTTTTAATGTACGATTTTGTTTTTATAAATATTATTATTTTTTTATTTCCAACAAGTTTTTATTGTTTTATAGTGTTATACGTTAAGGGAAGGGGGTAGGATCTCAATTCACAGCACTTAAACAGTACATGTTCATCCACGGTTGCCCAATGCAGAAAAAAAAACTTGCGTCATGCCTTATATGTATATTTCAATCCTGTCTGACCTAATTTAATTTTTAATGCTACTCATCACCCATATAACCGCTAAATGTTATTACTTCTGAAAATATAAAGAGCATAATCACAGGTTTCATTAGGCTTGTAACAACATCGTGGTGTACAACTCGTGCCACAACAGTTTTTTCTCTATATGAGTACCTAGCACAACATTTTAAGCTCTTTCACATTCCAATGTCTCTTAATGCTCAAGGATCTGCTGAAAAACATGCCCTTGAAAAGAAAAATGGATACCTGTTCCCTTTGGGGCGTAGCGTGGCCGTGGGGTACCCCCCATAGACCTGACCCCGCTCCTCATCGGGCTGACAAACTTTTGAAAAACTATAACACTCCACATTGTGATACCCTTTACGGGCAGATGACCTTCGTTTGAGGTAGATGCTCCACTCTATACCCTGTATGCAGTATGTCCGCCTGCATTCAGGATTTAGCTTTGAGAGCTTGGAAATCCTGGGTGCTGGTGAAATGATGCCAACACGCCCACATACGTGAGAACTTGGTCAGAGCATCTCTTTTTGTGAATAGCAGTTCTTCCATCTCATGTACATGTTCGACATGTCTGATCCACTCGGACAGCGAGGGTGCTCTCGTCTTTTTCCAATGTCGGGCAGCATTGATCATATGTTGTCTTAATGATTTACTGGGGCCTCTGGTATGGTCAAGGTCTGTCAGTAGGAATGTCGTTGGCGTATAAGGCGTGTCTAGTCCAGTGACCTGCGAAGTGATTTTATGGATTTCGGTCCAGTACGAGTTCAGGCCTGGGCAGTGTAGCTGAGATCAGCAAGTTTGGGGGACTGACCATTGGTCTGTCTGGATCTGCAAGCCACATAGATGAAGATAGTGGTTGCTTGAGCCAATTTTGTTCTATGTCCACCCAAGGTTTCTGAGTCTGCTATGTGTGCCATTGTATTACTCTGGCTAAGTGTGATGCCTGGTAGTATCTGAATGGATCTGGCACTGCCAAACCTCCGTGTTGTTTGGGTGTTTGTAGTAGGTCCCAAGACAGACGTGGTCTTTTGTCTTTCCAGACAAATTGCGAGAAGGCTGATCGCAAGCCCCGGAAGAACGACCCCAGAAGAGTTATTGGGATTGTTTGAAATAGATATAGCAGTCTCGGAACCACATTCATTTTGAGTAAGGCTACCCTGCCAAACCAGGTAAAAGTAAGAGTTTGCCACCTCTGGAGATCAGCTTTAAGTTTGGTCACCAGCGGTTGGAAGTTAAGTGGGAATAGGGTTACGAGATCTGCCGGGAGATGTATTCCCAGGTATTTGATGGAGGTGTTGTTCCATTGAAATGGGTATCTTTGTCTTAAAGGATCCGTAATTGAGACAGGGGCGGAAATATTGAGCACCGCTGATTTGCCTAGATTAATTTTTAGGTTGGACAGTGTGTTATATGTCTCAAATAGTTTCATCAGTACAGGCAATGAAGTGGATGGTTCGATCAGAAAAAATAGCAAATCATCCGCAAATGCTGCGATTTTATGTTCCACTCTGCCCATCGTGACTCCCTTTATTTGAGAGTTTCTAAGAACCATACGAATGAACGGTTCTAGTGTCAGAATAAAAAGCATGGGAGAGAGTGGGCATCCCTGACGCGTACCATTTGAAATTGGGAGACTCTGGGACATACAGCCCGTCGTCTTCACCCTCGCCGTTGGTCTGAAGTACAAAGCCTGTATCCAGGACATCATCTGGGTCTGAAGGCCTATGTGATGTAGCACGGCAAACATGAAGTCCCAGGAGACCCTGTCGAATGCCTTCTCCGCATCCGTGGAAAGTAAAATTGTCGGCACTCTTTTGGCATGTGTCCAGTGGATAACATCAATGGCCATCGTGGTGTTGTCTTTAGCCTCGCAACCCAAGACAAATCCCGCTTGTTGAGTACCGACCAGTCCAGGTATATGCAGGAGAAGGCGATTCGACAGGATCTTGGTGAATAGCTTCACGTCAATGTTCAGCAGCGATATTGCCCTGTAATTTTCACAGAGGTGGGGTTCTTTACCGTCTTTAGGTATGACCGAAATCTGTGCTTCGAGTGTTTGGCTGGTAAGGCCGTGATTGTTATCTATCGAGTTAAATGTCCTTAAGAAGTGGGGCGAAAGTATGTCCTGAAATGACTTATAATATTGCGTGGTAAGACCATCAGGGCCTGGGCTTTTACCTGGTTTGGAGTGTGCAATAGTATTTCTAAGCTCCTCCTCCGAGATCGGCAATTCCAGGGCCTGCGCAGCCTCCTGTG